TCTGTTCTTCCTCCCTTTCCCTTCTTGCTTCCTGTCTCTCCTGCAGCTATGAGTCCTCTGCTGAAATCTTGCTGCACACACCAAGACTTACCCACTTCCCCTCCGTGTCCGGCTCGCCGGCCAGCCTCGCTGATTCCATGCAGCAGAAGCTGTCCTGTCCCCGCCGACGCCGGCAGCAAAGCCCTAGTGCCATGTAGCAATTGCACACGGTGCCCTTTCTTTGTCTGTCGCTCTGGCCAGGTAGGGGCTCTTTCCAGCTCTCCTTGTTCCCTGACCCAAGCAAAGGCAGTAGTTGGCACCTTGCTGCTGAGAGCTGCTTTTTCTGCCCTTCTTTGCTTGGAGGACTGTGCAGGGGGAGAGGATTTGACAGCTCTGACCTTGTTCTCCTTCCTGGCCTGGGCTGGAAAGCTGTGCTCCCAGGTTTCCTCTGTAGCCTTTTGTTAGGGCCTGAAGGTCAGTGGTGTGGGGGTTTCGCAGCCAGAGGAGTGAGTCCTTGGGCTTTGTGCTGTCAGTCTCGCTGTGACTCGCCTTACTAAACAACCCTCCAGGCACCGGCGTGTGGCCTGGCCATCGCGGCAGCGCGGGGGGAAGCGTGGTGTTATCCAGGATATCCGACTGTCGTCGCTGGAGCGAGAATCGGTGCTGACGGGCAGATGCGCTCCCGCGCACAGAAGTGGCTTGATGGATCCCCAGCCTGTGGGGGCTCGGCAGGGGAGATGGTGGCACGTCCACGTGGTCCAGCCCCATTGCTGAGCACCTCTGGGGCTGTGGGTGGTCTGGGGCCTGTTGCTCATCCCCCTGTCTGTGCTGGGCTGGGAGTGGGCTCTGCCTTGCAGGGGTCCCTGTGCTGGGGACAGCTGTGAGCCCAGCCCTTGGCACAGCTCTCACTGTGATGTGGCTGCTTTAAAGAGCTCAGTGGCTGCAGCGGGGCAGACCCAGAGCCTGCAGCTCCGCGCTGTGCTGCCCTGGCCCTGCTGAGTTTCAGCACGTGTTTGTGCCCAAGGAGGGCCAAGTCCCACTAACCCCTCTCCTTGTTGTGCCTCTCTCATCCCCAGCTATGAGGAGAGCTCTACCCCTAAGGAGGTGCCGGGGGCCTCCAAAGAAGAGACGACAGAAGCTGATAAAAAGGAGAAGTGACCTTGCCCGTGTGGCCAGGCCTGGTGCTGCTGGGCTCGGGCCCCTTCCAGACCCTTTGCAAGTGACAGACGACGAAACAATTGTGCAAGAGCATCGTGTTGTGTGTGTCCGGAGCAGTCGCCTAGGTGGGGTATCGATGTACACCGCGTATCCACATCCCCCAGCCCAGCCCCGGGGGGGCTGCCCAGCCACGCTCCCTTTTATTTTATTGTCTCCTTCATGGGTACAAAGTGGGTGGGGAGCGAACCACAGGCCCGTTTTTAAATTTTGTATTGTGCATTTGCTTTCTCTCATATTAAACCATCTCAAAGGAAGGAATTTGTTCTGGCTGGGCCTAGGGGTGCTGGAATAAGGGAGCGCCAGGAACGGTCCCACTGGCTGCTCTGTGGGCTTCTAGCGTGACTCCCTGTTCTCCTTGCAGCGCAGGCTGGGTCTGCTGCTGCCCCAAGGTCTCCTACCCCTCGAGCGCTGTCCCTGTAGGCTGCACAGCAGCTCTCAGTGCCTTAGTGGAGACCCTGAGTTGCTTATGGTACTTACGGAGCTGCTCTCCCTGTTCCGGTGCCGTGAGGCA